ACAAACACAAAACCATTGTGATAATTCATTAAAACTACTGTCGTTCGCCCAGAACAATTAAAAAAAATTCTTCTTCGTGTTTACATTAAACAGGCTGTTGGCATGTTCTGTTATGATTATATTGCTAAGTTGCGACATATGTGCCATTTGACGCATCGGATTTTAGCAAACCCCTTATTAACAACCTTCATCGGCATGATTATTAGGAGCACTGGACCTCTGCCTCCCCCCCCCCCTTTTTTTTCCCCCTCAAATGAGCCCAAGAGCACACACGGAAAATTGTCTTACAGTAAATGTTTGTGAATTATAACCCGTCTCTTCAAGCAGGGACGTTTTAACAGCATTATGAGCACCCGGGGTCACCAGTCTGACTAGGTCCCTAGACCAGGACCAGCGTAATATTTTTCGCCGCGGCACCTTTGTTGGGCACAAGAATTTCGCGGCACACCCACCCTTAAAAAGGTTTTAATACTTGGAAAAAAAAAATTTAATGTTCAGTAGTCTTTAATGCGATGAATGAAACTTTGGATGAATTTTGCATTACTTTCTTTATGTTTATGGGAAGTTTTGTTAACTGTACCCTGAAATCACTTGAAGGTTGTTCATGTGTCTGGCTTTATTGTTAATGTAAGCGTACGTTGAGAATGCACTACAGCATTACCAATAGCATTGTTTTTCTGAAAACACCTGCATGCAGAACTCTTCTTGGCTTCCATCGTAGTATTTCTGTTTTAAACTGCTGTCTTCGCTGATCTCAAGCAGCTTTTACAAAATTCTTGATTACTGCACCCCTGACATACGCTCGCGGCACCCCTGACATACGCTCGCGGCACCCCTGACATACGCTCACGGCACCCCTGACATACGCTTGCGGCACCCCTGACATACGCTCGCGGCACCCCTGACATACGCTCGCGGCACCCCTGACATACGCTTGCGGCACCCCTGACATATGCTTGCAGCACCCCTGACATACGCTTGCGGCACCCCTGACATACGCTTGCGGCACCCTGACATACGCTCGCGAGAACCTCTGCCCTAGACAAACACTCCAGCGATGAAATGTCGGTGGTGGAAAATATTTAACATATATTTATTTCATTGGCACTTCGACAGAACTGGCGTTAAAACGTAAATTTAGATCAAATGGCACAATATGAAATTAATAGAAACTTCTCACTGTAATCAGCATTTACTTTTTTTTTTTTTTTTTACATAATTGTTCTATAATTGGCTTGAAATATGTAGTCCTAGCAATGTCACTTGCCATGCACATGAGTTAAGGCCTGTCGAAACGATGTTGCCCTATTATGCTACGAAGCAAATTTTATTTGACAAGTTTCAGTCTTGGAAAAGAAAGTTCTTCTGTGCAACTGGCTACCATCATGCACATAAACTTTCCCACAAGGGGATCTGGCCGACGCTTATCACTCAGCGGAAAGGCGAGACGGATATACAATCAGACAGTTACTGGTACCATCGGAATTTTAACTCTTCGCTTGCTGCTGAAGATGGGGACGGAGCGCTTTTTATGGTGTCTCGAGTGCTGTGATGACGGTTCTTAATTCAACATTCAACACTAACATTCCGAGTGCAGTTTCAACATTCTGGAAAACATATTTCAAATTGTCTAAAATTATGTTTCTGTTTAGTGCCGGGAGAGTCACACTTTTCTGTTAAGATATTGCTAGATATAGTCACGTTTATTTATATTAGCCAGATTCACACTTTTTCTTTAGTGCACCAGAAGCAATGATTTTTTTTTTTTTTTTGCTGCTTGTTCAATCGCCCGTTCATCTTTTTAATCGTAGACGGCCGGGTTCTATCCCAGCTGCAAGCCATGCGCTCTGCGTTGGTTTTGGCAGTGGTATTAGTAAGCAGACAGTCCAGTAGCAATGGCAAACTACTGGACGTAAATTTGCCTAGAGAAACCACACAACAGCCAGGGGCTGCTGGGGTGGGTTCTGCAACGTCCTGTAAAGGATACGCAACTAACCTTAAGACACATGTCAACAACTCTTCCTATGAAACTACGGCCGCGACAATAGGAGCCAACGCTACCGTGTCTTTATTAGGGCTCTCCTAAGTGGACGCTCGGACATAGGTCAGTTTTTCTGTTAACTTCTTACTGACCTTGCAGACTGGCAGGGGATTATTCCGCTCTGGAAATAAAAGGCAGAAATTGTGTCGGGCTGACCTAAATAGAAGCGTGTCTGGCAACGCTAAAGGACAGCGACACTGTCCTTTTTTTCGCGGTCACCGGTTGTAACGAATTCTGATATTTAATTAAAATTACCGTCGTTCGCCTAGGATAACATAAATTAAAATATGTTTGTAGTTTAGTGAATACTTTTCTGTGTGTTTCTACCGTATAATCGTGTACCTAATGGATAAGGAAAACATTAATTACAGTCGTACAAATGTTATTTCTCGATATTTCGGTGTTGATAATATATTCTTTAAAGACGTATAACATAACCCTTGATCCGTTAGGGTCGTAGTAGTGTATCGATGGAAGCACTAGCACATAAAACCCGTTATCTTTCTCTGTCTTCTGCTTGATGAATCTTGGGCCAAATTGCGCGTCTCAAGGTCGACCAATCAGAAGTGAGCTAGGCTAAAGGTCGACAAATCAGAAGTGAGGTAGCGTGCAACACTGTGCAATTGAGGGTGGGGGGGGGGGGGGGACTAACTTTAATTTTACCGCTCAGAGGTATGGTAACACTACAGATCATGAAGTCCGTAAACGAGTTATGGGTCCTGAAAGCAAACCAGCAGTCGCTGCAAGACTTAGCGATCGGCCTCGATAATGCCGAGCCACAAGTACTCACATGTGGTGAGATCAGGCGAATGACTCCGCTGTGAGTGAGCTTTGTCAATCGATCTGCGTACATGTTATTCTCAGATGTTAACATTTTCAAATGGAGTGCCACCAACGACCCGACATGTCTCTTATGTAGAGCTAATCAGACGCTCAAACAAGTACTTTCCGCCTGCAGAAAGGTCATAGGTCGGGGATGATGTATATTGCGCCATAAAAAGGTCCTGAACGAGTTGGTGGACATTGTAGACAAAGACAGGATGAGTGCCAAAGAGAGGGCCAGCCCTAACGTCCCTTCCATGAGCTTCCTCAAGGCTGGGCAGATATATAAATGTACTTTTAACAAAGTCGCTTACGCTCCATCCATACTCGACTGTGCGAGGGACTGGCAAGTGACGGTCGACCTGTCTGGCATTTAGAAATATCCCGAAGCAATCCGAAAGACTGGCCTGAATCCAGACATGTTTTTGCACTCTGCAGCAGAACAACAGTTCCTCCTGATAGAGCTCAGTCTGCGTTACGAATCGCGAAAGGAAGAGAACCACCTTGATAAGCTCGAGAAATACAGTGAACTGGTGGTCAGTCTTAGAAGCGATGAGGGGTATGCAGTAAAACTCGTCGCCGTCGAGGTAGACGCCATCTCCACCTCCACATACATGTACTAAAGTAGCTGTGAGAATCTCCATGCTCTTTAAAGAAAAGTTTTAGACAGTCTGAATTTATTTTCCAGTGTGTTCAAATTGCTCTCAGAGTGTTCAAGTATGTGATGGTAACTAACTTTACAGGACAACATTTTTTCAAGATAAAAACATCCCCAAAATGTGTTTCATGGCCTAATGGGGCAGCATTGTTTGAACTCGCTTTCACTAGTGAGTTTAGAAAATTCCATCCTTATGACCACAGACTTCAAGCCTATAATAAAGCAAATATATGAACAGAAATGACCCACATGATTGCTATAATAAGAAGTTTGTGATAACTCCATACTGTGCCATCTAATCTATGTGTATGACTTAATACCAGTTTAAATGATCAACCATTTACATTTAATTCGTTTGAGCATATTTTTTTGTTTCTCTGGGGACCCATAATGCTGTCATGGGTCACCGTTCTGCTGCACGACATTACTGGACTGTGTCAGCTTGTGATATGTGGCAGAGACTACAGTCCGATATGTGCAACGAATGCAAGCGATCCAAGTTGTTTTGATCGCATCGACTGACTAAATATGTTTCTGTTGAGTATCTTCATCTTGCCAAATTGTCATTGGTGACATATCTGGTCGTTTGTAAAGACTTATGTTTTTGTTGGCGCCACTATCAGCTCTCCAGTAGGAACCAAGCAGTTATCATTGTCTTGTGACCTCTTGTGCGTGTCATTGAAATGTTATAATACCTTAGTTGCGTTGCCATGTATACACTGTCATTCTTGCAAACAACAGTCTTCTAATAACTGAATTCATTTTAAATCAACTCAGTTACTTTATGAAAGCTTTTTCCCATTAGCAGTTAATTGTGATATTACTGTCACAACATATCAAATTGCAAACATATATCTTCTGTCAAAAACTAATAAAGTGACCGACTCAAATAAACAGTAGTTGAAAAGCATTTAATGCAACATCAAACAAATACATAATGGATTTGGTACATGGATTTTGCAATGGCAAATGTCCATATAGGTCTCCTGTAAATGAGCAAATTAGCTGACTCGGCAGGTATAAACATTAGTAATAAAAAATTGCGTGTGCCCACAATGCACACAAGCATACACTCATACACAGGCATACACACATCCAACATATCTCGTCTCGATTTGATTATATCTTTCTTTTGCACATAGACCTACTGCTTCTCGTTCGTCCCTCGATGTAATCTTCCCACTTGTATCGCTGTCTACCTCTTTCACCCTTGCCATTGACTTTTTCCTCCTTAGATTTTCCATTCCTGATGTTGTTATTATTGAATTTGCAGAGTTGTTTTGACACATTTCCATTTTCTAGACGCTAGTTTTATATTGTGGTATAGAGGTGTTGGGAGTCACGGTCAGTAGCGATGAGAGTGACTTGCGTGACCCGCTAGAGATAAAGACTAGCAAGTTTTTAATGTATTATGACATAGGATGAGCTTGATAAATGTGCTTCTTGAAAAAATATTTTAGAAGTCAACATTTATTAACTTCAGCATCCCCATTTTTGAGCCAACATTTGAGAGTTGGTGAGCGGATCCCGCATCCAGTCAATGACCATTTTATGAGTCACAAGCCAGACGTTGTTGTAGCTAGACAGTGTATCTTCGAGCCATCTAACCATCGCTTGTTCCAGCTGCTGATTTTCTGTGGGCGTTGAGGTCCGCATGGAGATGTGCATTGGGGCTTTGGCGGGATAAAAGTGTTCTTCGAAATTGTTCCTGCAAATATGACATGTTAATTGTTAGCGTGAGAAATAAAGGTGTGTGCATGCGTACGTGCGTGTGTGTGTATGTTGTGTGTATATTGCTGTTGTTGTTGTTTTAATTCTAATATGATTATACAATTAACATGTAATGCTAATTGTTAGCCATTTTTAATGCTTCTTTAGTGTGCTTACTATTTTTTTTAGCATGCTGTACAATTCATCGATTGTACAATACACTTGTTTGTCTTTTCAGAGGTTTTCACTCCGATACCTAAGAAGAATATCAACCCTAAGAACATCGTGTGTACATTCTTCAACTTCTTTTTCAGCACTGCGCGCCCTCAAGGTTCATTGCTGCAGATATTGCCTGACCCAGTTCATCTTTGTGATTATAGGCCTTTTCTTTCCGGTTTGTGACGTGGGGTTTTTCTATGACAGCCTTTCATAAGCTCTGAACTTTCTGTTTGGTCTGCTTCATGCTAGACTCCCATTCAATGCCATTGTTTGTGCAGTTTGTGTCTCTCTGTTTTTTGTTATGCTCTCAATATGCATAAAAATTGCGTCTATCGGCTAACCTAGTGTCGGTAATTTTCCTTCTGCCTTTCTAGCCCCCATTGGAGCATAGGTCCTCAACCAACTCACGCCAAGTCGTTCTATCTTTTGCTATCACATGCAGCTCTTCCTATGTCTACCCCATCTTTCTAATTTCATTCTTTAGCTCCCTTCTTTATGTTTTTTTTTTTTTGGGCCTTCCTTTATTTCTATTTCCCCTAGGGGTTCCAGTGCAAAGGCATTCTAGTTATATTGTTCTCCGGTTTTCTCAACGTGTGTCCTATCCAGCGTCAGCGTCTTTTCTTCATGGACACTTCCCTACAAAATAGGCGATGAGGAGCTGAAGGGGCCTAATCCTAGTTGAAGAGCATACCAATATTTTGCTGAATGGTTGATTATTAGTATCATACATTACAAATGGGAGCCTAAGTGGTCTAACACTAGATGCTCGACTGCTAGGAAGGTCGCGGGTTCGGTTCTATGGAGCCTGATTTAAAAAAAAAATAACCTTGGCTCCCACGTTGATCTAGCCTTGAGTGGGTACCAGGTACAGTCCTGTGAAGTAAATGTGGCCGGTATAATGCTGACCACGTCACCCACCAATTGCCGTTTGGTCGATAAAATATAGGTCTAGCCCTATATACCTAGTACCCCCAAAAGGCGTTGAAAAGGGTCCTTTACTTTACAATACATCACAAATTCCACGAAACGTATAAACAAATATTTTAAAGATAATTACTGTACATGTTTGAAGGTTTCTCTTTTACCCTGATAAATTTTTTAGAAGTTCACCCCCCCCCCTCCCCAACCCACCTTAAAGCTTTTGAGAGGGCTCGAAAGTGCCTGAGCCTCTAGTTTCTGGTCTCTTTTAAAGAAATCAAGAAAGTAGTCAATACAAGACACGGCATATTTGTGTATGTGTACTGTGTTGTTCTTTATGTGCTGATGAAGGCTAATCGCAGCAACGTCCTTTGTTTGTTTATTGTGATCGATTTTGTAAAGCTAACATAAACTGTTTGTTCTTTCTTACCAACCTTTTCTCTTCCCTATAATTGTCTACCCCTTTAAAAACTAAATTGGAATGATTAGCGATCCTTGTGATTAACACATGGACTCAACAGTTGATGATGTTTGTGATGGCGATGATGATATTGCTGGGAAACAACCCTGTACCTTTAGAGCCAGAGGCGGACACTGAAGCCTACCTAAATCAGCTCTGGTCCATATAATACCAAGCAGTCCCTAGTGGTTGCGCTACTTACTTGAATAAATCGTACCAGTCACTCTCCTCCGCCGTGAAGCCGTTGACTCCGACACTGCAACTGTCGACGTAACTACAGCTTTGTCCGTCCTCTCCTAGCCAACTGTTTACAGGCATCTCCCATAGACCAGAGTAATTTCTGGAAGGGCATGGTGGGTTCGGGCATCTGCGGATAGATTGATTATGTTTGAGTCACGTCCGACTGCATATTTATATCCTCAAGATGGCCGTGGTTTGAGTATAGGGGTTTTAACAACCACTATAGCCCGGCTCTCTAGCGTAGTTGGCTAAACCGGATTGCGCGATGACCGCGTGACGAACTCCATGTGGTCCGGGTTCACTGCCGGAAGTAGGCAGAAAAGTCACATTTCTAAAAGATTTACAATGGAATCAGGCAGAAAGGTTGCGATATCCATAATACCGAGCCTAAGGGTTAACAAACTCATGGCTTTTGGATGCTAAGACAAACAAACAAACAAACAAACAACAACCTCTATAACTGTAATTAAGTCAGCAAATAAGTAAACAATCTGTAAAAGCTGTTGACACATCGGCTAAATGGTACTCAGTTTAAGATTTGTCGGTCCTTAGGGGGTCAACATCCTGCCTGCCTCCTTTACTTCTCATGTGCTCATTTAACGCTAGGTTTGTGATCTCGACTCCGTTTCGGAAAAAACTAAGACTGTATTGTTTTTAAATTCCTTGACAAAATAACACATTCACATACACAAAGAATAAAAAATGAATATTCGTTGCTGTGTTTTGTTTAAAAGCAGTGACTCTTTTAGTATGAATCGTTTGCTAGGGATATTCTTTTATGCATGGCTTCGCCATAATTTTTCCATACAATTTTCCAGAGATAAATCAGGAGGCCAACACGAAAGGGAAAAGAAGGCGAAAGTCTGGTCCCCTTACAAATTGTCTAGTTCAAGGAAAGGGGTGGGGCGCTAAGCCTTGTTTAAGTGTGTAATAATAATAACGTGCTGTATGACAAATAGACGTATCAGTATATTTGAAATAATAGGCGAAGTATAAAGAAGAAGGTCTATACGTGATTTGTGGTGGGAGCAGCTTAGCACTTAGAGCAGGGGGCATAAGCGCACAGGTTCCATCACCCCTGGGCTACAAAAATGACCCCAAACTTCCTGATCCGTAGCAGTCAGGAAATCGTACACATTCTAACCCGAACTTACCCTTATACAGGGCAGCTCTTGCTAGTCAGTACAATTGCTATCGTCATCCACTATGATTGCCATGCTCCCCTGTAGCCCAACGTAACACTATCGCCTGAAAGGACGGAAAATGGGTCAACTGTAACCCAATAACAATATTTGCTAGATGTAATAAACCCGGCCCCAGCACACTCTGCTGAGTAACAAAGTCGGGCCAATGACATTGTGACTGGCCGTTCATTCGTGCGTCTTAACCTTTAGGACTCGTAAGTCTTAAGTGCCAGGTTGTTGCGGGGTTGTATTGTGTCGAGGGTCTTACCGCCGACCACGCGTCCTCTATATTACAGGATGTGAGCACTTTTAATCACACCATAACATGTACAACTGACCCTAACCCCAACCCCCTACCCCATACACTGAGCCTAGGTCCGACGAGCGAGTGCATTGTACGCCCCGTAGTTTCAGACGTTTAAACATTTTGCTGTGGCCACAAAACGCTCTGTTGCTCCAGAAACACAACGCTAGCCGCTTAAATAAAAATCACGTCCTACTTAAAATTGTAGACGCCTTTCACATACCCACCAACAAACACTAATTCTGCTTAAAAAAAAAACGAAGTCGCTGGTCATACAACAACGATTAACAGACAAAGCAGAAAGCTTTGTGAAGACAAAGACTGCCATCTAGCGTAGATCAGATTCACCAAGCATCAATGTAAGGTCAGCTAGTGTGTAGCTGAGTCCGAGTTCGTTACGTATTCCCAAAAATGTTCTAACCGTTCCTACGTGTAACTTATACTTCCCCTCTTCCACTTGATAGATCATGAAAGTGTTTAGGAATACGGGTTGGATGGACTGTATGCCATCTTTCTGCCATTAGTGTATCGGTTAAACGGTTTGCGCTTTGAATGGCAAATTGCCTTAACTCTTTTAGTCACAGATGGCTTCAAAACAGAAACCCAGTTTGGAAAATAGTTACAGTGAAAAAAAAAAAAAAAAATATCGCTGTATGGCTTTCAAAGTTACAGCATACACTGTAATGTATTTAACAAATTTGGTCAGATTTCTTTTGCATACTCAGACCAAACATGAAAAAATTATAACACACCAGTGTTGGGTTGATACACAGTGACGTAATATGGGAACTCCTGATGAGTTGCTGGGACAGAAAAAGTGAAGCAATGAATGTGTGTGGAAAAGGGGGGGGGGGGAGGGAGGGGCAGCTTGTCTGAATGGCTGCTTCTTTCGACGACAAACTGCAATGACGATGGTCAATGTTGTTGATGTCCTCTTTAGCAGATGCCTTATGCATTTACTGCGTGGGCATGTTTCTGGATATTTACAGAGACTATTTATTTGTTCAAACGTTTTCAAAAAGGACAGGAATAGTAATTTCGACGGATTTTTACTGACACAGGAAAGGAGCAATTAAATGGTGACTTCTTGCAATGAAGTTGTGACCTACTACTACTAGTGTTGGTGGTAGTAGTAGTGCTATATGCGGAGATGTTGAAGTGAAGACGGAGTGTCATTGCGTCAGGATTCAATGTATTGGTGTCTAAACGATGTGTTGCTCAAATGCTGTTGAATAGGACACGGACTGGACATTTTGTGTAAGTGCTTAAATGTTAATAAACACTCATGTATCATGGAGACGGTGTCGACTCGTAACATCTATGTCATCGAAGAGGGTCAGTCATATCATCAATTAGACTACACCCCCTAGACAACAGCCAAGGACCGAGCAGACAAATATTGCAGATGACAAAACAATCTCCTCTCTACTTATCACTGAATATCGTATTTTCACACCAAGGAAATATACGTATTATGTAATAACTTACTGTACGACACCAAAATCCATAGTGTACGGCCAAACTGGACTTCTGGCGGAGTATATTTCGATATTAGAAATGGACGAGTCGTACAGAAATTGATTATCTTTCAAAACTTGAAATTGTACATCTTGGGTTGTTCTCATACTGGGAGCCCTGAAGCCAACTAAAGAATCATAAAGTTCCTGACTTTTTGTCTCTTGTAGAACTTTCTTTCTAAGGCCATCGATCTGAAGAGAGAGAGTGACACTGGTCAGTATAATTCAGGAATAAATGAGACTGACAAAAATAGCACCGCAAAGTTCTCCAGAACGTAAACACCCTGTGTCCGTAAAGTCATGGTGCACTTTTGATAGAACACCGGTCAAAAGTGCCCCATGACTTCACGAACTGTATTAAATAAACATGTATTTGACATTTTATAACGCCAGCATCATCATTAACATCATTAACATCATGATCACTATCATCATCACCACATTTTTCTGTCGCTTATACATTACATGCTGGCCGTTCGGTTAAGAAAGCTGGACTATCGTAAGGTTGTTTGTGTGTGTTTTCTGTCAGGGGCCGAAACAACTAAGAATCCTAACCTGTACAGTCTGTGGCGACAGCGCTAGCCACGAGCCTCTAAATCTTTAGGCTCAAAGCCCCCCCCCCCCGGCCTACTCCCCAAAAACAGTAAATGCAAGCAGGAGGGGCAGTTTGTATATGCACACATACACACACGCGCGCGCACACACACAAACATATAGGCATACGTTAAAAATGACTCGTCCATTTTCATCTATTATGTAAAAACTATCCTCGCGATTTCATGTTTTAAATTCAGTCCAGCATCGTATAAATAGTACTTGTCTGGTCTCTCTTGGCTGGCTTCGCCTCTTCAGTCCATTTTCTTAGCATTTCGATGTTTATTTTTTTGAATATTTATGACAAATAAAATGGCCATCTACACTGTTTGGGGGCCGAGTTAGAGCAGTCGATAGGAGACTCGCTTTGAAATCCAACTGCAACTCGCTGCAGCCTATGGCCGGTGCTCGAAATCGAGTGGTTCCAGGGGTTGACCCAGCTTCTAGTAGATGGGTACCAGAGTTAACACTCTGGGGTAAATGGAGGTACGTCGTCGCTGTAGCTACGAAGTTACGTGAGGACGGCTACACAGTCGGGCAATTTCTTATCAGTTGTCTGTATAAGTGGCAGAGCACTTATGGTTTACAACCGTGTACAATGACGCTAGTTCACACCTCCCGACTTTACCTTTACTTATACACTGTACGTTCAAATTAGTTCACTTCTGCTTGTCCCTAGTTCAGGTATGCGTTTGACAAATGAACAGTCACAATTTTCGTATTTTGTAGAGCAATAACTAAATACATAGCCAAGCTGTATGTTCTGTGTGTACTCCTAGAAAATGAAAGTTGACGGCGGGAGAGCTGGTGTGAGAATACGTTTCTTTCAGGCAGGTCGTGACGAGAGCGGTGTTCTGGAAGGGACCTGCTACATGATGATGATAGCTAAGCACTATGTTGCATATACTAATCGAGACCGATTATATTTTCTTCAAAAATGACTTTGCCTTCCAAGTGGACCCAACCTAAAGTGGGTATCAAGTAACGTCATGGAAAGTAAAGGCGGTCAGCGTGATGTTAGATGATCGGTCTTTCTTTCCTTTACAATGTAAGAAGTCAAGAATGTTGAAATTGTTGTACCAACCTCTTTCACGGTATCATTGTAATCAGCATCCAAGCCTCCAATGGGCAGTGCGTCGGTCAGAGTGCCAGAAGCTATCTCATGTCCTGCTCTGGCCATGGTATTCACCACATTGTAGTCGGTGCCTGCACCAGCAAGAAATACTGTGCTCCTGTCATGTGCAAAAAGGGGCAGATATGATTTAATGTGCCATCTCTGTACTGAAACTTGGACAATCAACCAGCAATAAAAGAGTCGAACTTGGTCTCTTGAGGTGTGGGTATACAGAAGAATGTATCGTATTTCATGGCACTAACAACAGTCAAATACAGGGGTTCCCAAGAAACTGGGAATGAGATGGGGAAAAAAATTGGTGAGAGAAATACAAAAGAGATTAGTGAAATAATTCAGCCACATTAAAGAAAACATCTTTTAAAAAGTTAAATTTGGAGAGAAAGGTCGAAAGCAAGCTGAAGCCAAGGCAGACAGTTAAAAATGGAAGGATAACATCAAGGATTGACAACCAGAAGTCAGTGTGTGCACCTCCAGGTCGAAAGACAAGATGCCTTGAGATTTCGTTGCAGCTAATCTGTACTGTTGAAACAGTACCTATTTAGTATTGTTTGACTTCTGTATTAGACTGTAGAAGTATTCATGTGCCATGGCAAAAGTGCAAACTGACCAAAATAGTCCTTTTAATAAGACGCGGAATCAAAGAGTTCCTTGTCTTCTTCTTTGCGTTCATCGGTTGTAAATTCTGGCTGCTCGTCAACTTCTGTTTCTCCCCCCTCCCCCCAGGATTTGAGTTTTACTTATCTGGCCTATTTCTGTGCAGACTGTTAGTTTCCCCTCAGGCACTTTAACATCGAAGGATAGATCCCTAATTAGTCGTCTTTTACTGCTTGTTGGGGAGAAGCTATTTTCACTCGCAAAAGAGAACCCAAAAACTCATACAGGGGAAAAAAAGGATAGATATTTCGAAACTAAGAAGAGTACACGTAACACTTAAACCATAGGCGCTTGAGAAATCGATATAAATATATAACATCGGAACTGGGGAAGATATATTACAATTCTGCATCCTCTAAAGAAAATAAAACTTTAAAGATTATGTATCTTCCAATAGAAATGGTACAAAAACGTAGGTATCCTTTAACCGAAATAACTATATACATTCGGCATCTAGTCACGGGGGGTGGGGGGGGGGGGGGGGGGGGGGGGGTGGGAATGTATGTATATTCGAAGATAAATAAATAATATACAACAGTCCTTTTTCCCCCCAGCAAAATTCAAAGCCTGAGTAATATATCTTGTAACAGACGTTCATCCTCACCTGAAAGGGCATCCATTTTGGTTAAACAACCTGTTTCCATTATCCACCATTAGCATTTCGTAGTAACTGTTAAACAACTCTGACGTCATAGGGCCATCGAAAGTCAGTAAGAGAAACATGGGCGTGTCTTCGATGGAAATATTAGGGATGGCGCCATAACAGAAACACTGGGGCAGCTGGCAAGTATCCCAGTTGCATTGGTTAACGTATTCTGAATCGTCTGGTACGACTGTGTTTGGATCTAAAGGCGTCCCGTTATCAGCTGTGGATGCGCTAGATGATGCTGTTGTGGAATGGGCGATCGAGGGAGCCTTGGTTGATGCTCCGAGCCATGTGGTTGTTTTTGATGTTGTGTTTATAGGTGTTGTTGACGTCGTTGTTGTTTTTATCTGTGGTGACTTTGTTTTTCTCGTAGTTTTTGTCCCATATGGTATTTCAGTGCTTCTTTTTATGTGTGCCAAGTTATCGGTTGTTAATTCTTGAGTCGTTTTACCTGGATTTGGAGGTGTTATTCTTGCTTTTAAATGTGATATGTCCTGTGTTGTTGAATATGTGGGAGACTTTGTTGTAGCTATTGTTGGCGATGCTGTTGTTGGTAATGTTGTTTCTGGTGACGTTGTTGTTGACGATGTTGTTAGATATGTTGTTGGTGACGCTTTTGTTGGTGATGTTGTTAGTGATATTGTTGTTGGCGATATTGTTTTTAGAGATGTTGTTGGTGACGCTTTTATTGGTGTTGCTTGTGTTGTGGTTGCTTGTGTTGATTTTGGTGTTGTTGGTGATGTTGTCGTCGGTGATGCTGTTGCTGGTGATGATGTCGATGCTGCTGCTGTTGTTGACGCTGTTGTTGAGAATAACGTTGTCAGTAATGATGATAATGTTGTCCGTGATGTAGTTGTTGTCGCTGTTGTTGGTAACCATGTTGATTGCGACTTTCTTGTTACCGAAGTCGTTGTTTGCGTTTCTGATAAAGAAATAATAATGTTAACAAGTTGGCCAGTCTTCAAGGATTTAAAACTTGATCTAGAGATTACAAACATTTAGCTATTCGCATTATGTGGTTGTGAAATGTGCACAATACAGAAAGCCTGGTGGCAATTAAGATATCATATCAAAATATGATAATAGCTAGCTGCGAAATTTGGCGGGAAAAGGAACGCTTCATAAAGTACTAAATGCGGTCTGTAATGGTTTGGCCTCAGAGATGAGATTTTACAGAAGAATGCTTAGAATACCTTGGACAGCCAAAAAGAGCAGCCAAGAGGTTTTGAAAGAGGCGGGAGCCCGAAGACAACTTATCACAGACATCAGAAGGAGATAGTCATCATTTTTTGGCCATGTTATGAGAAGAGGGAAGATAGAACATGTTGTGACCACTGGAAAGATCTGTGAAAGGAGGGATAGAGGAAGACAACGAGAGAAGATGCTTGACAGTCTTGTTACATGGCATGGAGGTGTGTCGGCACACGAACTGATTCATGCTGCAGGAGATCGCAGATTATGGAGAGGCATGATCGCCCACGCCAGTCGGCAAGGCACCTGGTGATGAATGGTTTGGTTGTACGAAGAAATAATAAATTGACTATTACAGGACAAATTTTATTGAAAGAAGTTGGAGTAGACAAAGGACACGTACAGAAAACACATACACAGTTTTACCAATGCAGTTAAAGAGAACGTCAATGCATATATATTTATAGAGAAGAATGATAGGGAATCTCCATAACCAACCGAATGATTGACTTATTGATTGGCGCATTTTCGTTTTTCCAGACAATAATGTTATATCGCACTGTGTGGAGGCATGGGACTCACAGCACATGGCGATGGTAAGTGTGACTAAAAATACCCGCCCGCGTTATGAAAAGTGTTCGACAATTACACCATGGGATTTCAGCACCGCTGTTGTCTTCACTTATGTTTTATCTGTTTCTTCCGTTCAGCTCTCATCCTTCCAGCAATCATTCTTCCTTCAGTCTCAGTCCCTTACTGATGTGTCCTCTCCACAAAACACGGTCCAGGACATTCTGTTCCCACGAGTCCACCTCAATACAAGTATCATTTATTTCCCGCTTTCATACATCTTTATATCGTAGTAGAGGTCGGCCTTGACATCTTTTACATGTCTTTAATTCACCATAAAAGATGTCCCTAGGGACTCTGCCGTGCTCCATTCTCCAGGTGTGACTCAGCCACCTGTCTTCGTAGACTGAACTTTAAGACGATTGTTTTAACACCTTGTCTTTCCAATACTTCTGTATTTGCGATCTTGTCCTGCCACTTAATGCCAGGAAGTCTTATTAGGCAGCGCATGTAAAAGCTATTTAGCCGTTCCTTCTGGTGCGAATAAGTTGACCAAGTTTCACTGCCAACCTATGATTAAAACTCTCGATGGTTATGAGGACAACCCATTTCTGTTTAACAAAATAACGCGTCCTGAGATGGGGGAACTGTAGTAGGCCATGACGGCTGAAGGTGGGGGGAAAAAGAGAGACGAGAGAGAGAAAGAGAGAGAGAGAGAGAGAGAGAGAGAGAGAGAGAGAGAGAGAGAGAGAGAGAGATTGAGAGAGAGAGAGAGAGAGAGACAGAGAGACAGAGAGACAGGGAGAGAGACAGAGAGATGAGAAAGTGAAAAGATGGTGGTCAATTCAGCATCATGGCATTGAAGAATATCTATACAGGAGTGGACTGTCAGTATAGAGAAAGAAGATTTTGGTCAGATGTAATTGGCATTAACACAGGCAGTGGTAAGGCATGAGCAATTCGCACTTGTAAGCGTTAGTATGTAATATATTCCCCTCATAACTGCGCTGTTGAGAGACTGGGTACGCAGCTAGTATTGTAGGACTAGTAACTGGTAGCTTCCGCAATTAGAATTTCTGCATGTGTGTGGTAAAGTTGCAGTAAACGCTTTTTTAGCTATGTTCCAGACGTATTTGTAATAAATAGTAAAGCGTAATAATAAGTATCAAAATATTGCCTTTTTTTCTTTCTGCTGTGGAAAGTCTAAGGTGCCGCTGGGCGATAAGAGGAGAACGGAGCTGAAGAGGAACAGAAGGAGAAACATAAGCAGGAAGAATCCTATAATTTATCAATTCTGCGCACAGTGCAACAAGTGCTTGGTGAACTGGCCTTATGTTCACACAGTGGGCTGTAGAGATGTGCCTGCAGTAAGAGCTTGAAGGAAAATGTGTTATAGCCTTTTGAGTTCTGCCGGTACATTAGCAGGGCGTTTCTTTACTACGCGTTCCAAAAGTGTAAAGACACAAGGATGAAAGATATTTGTAATGGTATTTGGTTTCTAAACAAAACAATATTAAGTCAGTAACGTAATTAGTATACAGTAAGGCTGCAAATAGATATTAAAACGTCGACAAATACACGTGAAATGTGGAAAGAGGTAGTTCGCAAGAAGGTTGCGGAACGTGTGTGCACACATGAACAATCGATAGAGAAGCAATATAGTTATTACCATCAGTTGCTAGACCACGTATGTTACAGTCGCTGAACTCCGGCCATTGGCAAATTCCTAAGGCGGCGTGGAATCTGGTAAAGTAATTATATTAGGAATTAATATTATGATATAAATTATTTGCTTGAGTCAAATTATGTATTAAATTTAGTAGTATGCCCCTACCGCCCATCTCTCTCTCTATCTCTTCCTCCCGCTGTCTGTATCTGACCCTCAACCAGCCATCTCGCTTTAGTCGTCTTACTTTTTGTTTATTATTATTTCTTTTGATTGTATGCGCTCCTTCTCTGCTTTAACTCTTTCTTTCTTTCTTCC